ATTTGCCTTCGGGTTTATATGATCCGTTCATCCTATTTCGACTCTTTCAAAATTCAAGAGTCTATCCTAAATTGAGGTAAATTATATGGCCTTCCAAATACCGTTTCGATTCCTAACATCACTGAAGAGACATTAATTGTCGAAATCCGGATATGGTGTACACATTTATGCACCTCATGTTTGCGGTATACCATCTTTTCCGCAAGATTATGGTTTTCTGTTTGGTAATAAATTATTATAAGATCCATTTTGTTATATCTGGTGATCCGTTTATTTGGCAATCGCCAATGGCAGTCAGCAGGATTTAAGAACATCAGTTGTTCGACCTGTTAGTCAAATGCGTTTTGTTGAAATATACTTTTTCACTTTTTGGTCTTTTGGAAAATGTTGTTTGTGCTGTATTTAGACCCCTCTAACAAGAAATTTGTTTTGCATGCACACGTATAATAAATTGCGGTTTTTATCCAACGCAATCATAGGTTTGAACATTGTTTTCAATTTAGACTTGTATATATATATATATGTGTATATACATAGACCGCTTACTTCTCTCATAAAGCCAAGAATAAAATCAAGAAAAAAAATCGCCCCCTAGAATTTTACAACAGAAGAGTAACATATCAGATTGATATGATTTTACTGTTGATGTTTAATATTTTTTCAAGCTTCAATCTTTGACGCGATCAACCAGAATATTTTTTTTTCAAATCTAACACTATAAATATAAGGCATGGGGTGAATTTTCATTCAGAATAATTTTTTAACCCCCCCCCCGGACCCCCTTGGAAGTTCAATGGTCGTTCCTTTACGCACCTAGTTTCGATTGTTTTCTAAATGAAAGAAGAATAAGTGGGAAATTATAAAACAAAATATAGGCCTTTTTTTAAAACATTGATCCTTTGGGATTTTCTTGCTATAAAATCAACAAAAAAGCTATAGTGTTGTCGAGTATGCTAGATGTGTATCTATTTTACCCATCAACGAATCTTTGAAGCCTGCTTGAATCTGTATGTTTGTGTCATGTAAGATTAAGTTTGTGCGAAAAGTGTTTCAGGGATAATTATTTTGAATTGAGCATGCGAAGCATCCGCTCCTTTTTTAATATCATACGAGAAAGTCGAGCTGTGAATGTTTTTGTTTCGTAATAGAAAACTAGACAAACTTGCACAACTATTTGAAAGTTTTAGTAGTCAGTTTATAACAACCGATGACGAAAACACAATTTCAATTTCCCTCCCATTATTACATTTTGACGTTGTGCATTTCTCCGTATATTCTCTACACCCAGGTTGTCATGAAATACCACAGAATTTAATAGTCTGGCTAAAATTAGTTCAAGTTGTTATTGTATGAAAATTTTCTAACCTTCAAACCTGAAATCTTTTTCTTTTTTTATTCAATGTCACACGAACACACAGTTCGAAACCGATAACTTTTTTTAGAGAACCAATATCATGAATAAGTAAGATTGACAAAAAATTACACCAACTCATTTAACATCAAGTCACAAAGGTTAAGTCAAAGGACTTTATTCGGATAGGTAACATCAATACGAATAATGCGACATTGATATTTTGACATTGAGACCGAACTTAAAGGTAATATACATTTTGTACCAGTCATGATGACAATTAAGCCGAACATCATCGTATGTCGTAGGTCTTCTTCAAAAGAAAAGTTGTTTTTTACAATAGCACTTCCACACAGGTAGAATGGCACACACAATAGGCCTACCTTCTTTGAAAGGGCGGTTATAAATGAAAGTATTTTTACATGGAATATCCTATACAACTGTTGTTGCTTTTGATTTAAGTTCTATTTAACTCTAGATTTTTTTCTTGTATTACCACATCGGTAGTTTCACGGTAAGGGAGCTACCCTTTGATTTTTATGGGGGGCTAGGATAAAATTTGAAAAAAATAGGCAGGACAGAATTTTTGAGTTAAAAAAGCAGGATGAGATTATTTGCAAAAAAAAAAAGGCAGGATGACAATTTATGTAAAAACAAAAGTCAGGATAAACTGAAAAAAAAGGCAGGACCGAATAGAGTGAAAAATAAAAAGGCAGGACCGAATAGAGTGAAAAATAAAAAGGCAGGACCGAATAGAGTGAAAAATAAAAAGGCAGGACCGAATTGAGGGAAAAATAAATAGGCAGGACAAAAATTTTTCATCCTGGCCCCCCCCCATAAAAATCAAATGGTAGCTCCCCAAGAGCGTGTATTTGTCCCAGGTACAGGCGTTGAGGTTGTGGGTTTGTCCAAGTCGGAAAAAAACCAAAGACTTTACAAATGGTATTTGTAGTTATAAGAGCAAAGACTAAGTCTTGACAAAATATTAAACATTGAGTTCTTTTTTGGACTAATAACGGAGTCATCATTTTAAAATATCAACTCAGTGTGTCGGTCTACATAAATCAGAGTATCTTCTAAAACATTTCGCATTAACATTAGAGTATACTGTTTGTTGTTTGTTGATGGTACGCATGCAGCTATCTAAAAATCTCTTAATCAATTTTCTCTATCAATATGTATAAAAAATAATAAAAGATTTTCCGGCTTTGTTTATATGTGAACGACCATTTGATATTCTTGGAGGGGGATTATTTCATGAGTCTTCTGGCCTTGTTATACATGTCTCTGAAAAAAGACCATTTTAGATAAAAAAAAAAAAAATAGCCGGCTTCGCAAAAGGGGAAAATTTATATTCTCTTCCCGAAAATCATATACTGCCCCCTCTCCTCCAACAATAACATGGTCATCCCCTTAACAGTACGTAGGAAATGATATTGATAATCAAAATTCAATAAACAATTAGTCTTACTCCCAGTTGAAAGAGTACAATTTCGCAATTCCTATAAATGGTTAATAGATCATTTCGTCGTTCAGTGGCAAGTATTACAGATATATCCAGGACGAACCAATTCAACAAAACCCTATCCATTTCAAAGAGTATGATATAGAATATTCATTTATCATAAGAAAACTGGAACTGTCGATATGTGAAGGGAACTTGATCATCGAGTTGTATACGTAGTACTTTAATGGCCACTAGCGTGTCAAAACTTTGTTTTTTTTTCTTCGGCAAAGCGTGTTCGGCTTAGATCTTTAAAAATAGACAGACGGTTCTTTATTTTCCTGTCGAAGGCCAGTGGTTCTCTCTGGCTTTCTCTACAAATTAGTCTTGATTGACATGGAAAGCCAAGCGTAATGAAAGTGGCATTAAAGCCAGCAAACAACTAATTGTTCATCGATATTTTGATCTTGCTGATGTGCGTTAACTCATCTATAGACTTTGATAATCGATTTATAATTTGACAGCTTGCAGTTTTTAAGTTTTTAATTCACATAAGTTTAATTTCAATACAACTTTAATAACAATAACTCATCATACATTTACGATTCTTTTCGCTTACGGGTAAAATGATTTTATCTCAGTTTGAACCATTTTCAAGACATGATTGCGCAAACATTTTTCTTCACTTTTTTGATACTGCACTTCTGAGAACCCTAATTGGGCGCCTATTCCTGAAAACAGATATACTGTATTTGTTGCCCAAAATATTGAATAAACCATTTTAATTTCTGTGATCTGAAATAATATCGTTAATACAAGAGAAGGTATGCCATTGTATCATTCAGGTTTGTTTATAATGAAGACACAGAAGACTTCGTCAACACCGACTCCAATGAAGTGACATTTCGATTACGACAGTGGGCAGATGAGGAAGTGGAGGGGGCAGGGGGACGGTCCCCCTTATTGAATTGCATATTTGTTAAGTGCATAGACTTTTTAAAAGTAACAGTCCAAATGTTGGCTAACTAGCCCTTCCCCCTTTTTTAAGTGGTTTATCATTTTCAGACAAAATGGGTGACGGATCTATGAAATGTCGTAACATATGGGCATTCGCAGCTCAATCCAATCTGGAGAAATCGTTATTATGTGTCTTTGTATGTTCATGTATATTTCCTCTTTTAGTATCATAGAAAGGAAGATGCAAATGTGGTTCAATGGAATCTTTTGTGTAATCATAACAGCTATGTTTGTTTACCAATCACAGTTTCTATGATATAGACAGATGTGGCATATACGATTTGGTATACATTGGCCTTATGTATTAAAGCAGAGTTCAAGATTAAGATAAAGCAAAAGTTAAAGGATATGAAATTTTACAGAGGTACGGCCAATTTCCCCTGTATTTGTTGTACTACATGTAACGTGTCCAAATCCTAATTATTCATTGGATAAGGCACATATGATTTATATAACAATGCACAATACAAGTGTACAACATATACAACATAAGTGAAAATTAAGTATAGGCTTTAACCACAAGTCTATTTTATTGGAAGGCAAAATATACTTAGTCCATAACCTCAAGCTGTGTACTTAATGCTAGCCTAACGAATGGATACCAAGAATATTTTTTCAAATTCAAACAACTCTGAACCTTTCCAAATGCAGTGTCTATGTATGGAAGTAATATATAAATATAATACTTCTATGGTCTAGGTATCTATTCAAATCTGAGATCCAAATTTCCAAAAGTTTCTAAAATATAAAGGTCTGTATATAAAGGTCATAACTTAAGTTTATCAATTATTATCAAATAAGGAGTTTAAAACTCTCCTGCGATTTAAATTGCTTATGGGTGTCCAACAGATCAATTTTTAATAAATACTAAAAATTTGCAAATATCTGTAAAAATTGAAGTCTTGTGCCATGTTAAGAAATTTCAATAATAAGATAATCACGTGTGCGAAAATATGTAAAAAAATTACATGTTTAAATCTAAAAGTATTCATTTGACACTACATGTATGACTTTTCAAATAACGGAGAACTTTTTATAATGGTCTTAGTAGAAAGAAATTTAGAGGAAATTAGCTCCACCGCTTTCCATGTTAAAATTAATTTTTATTTTTGCCCTATTAAAGTTAAACATGATGAATTTCACTCCTTCTTTCATTGCGAAACAAATAAACATGTGAGAAATGATTACTTCTCTGAAATTGCTTCTCAAAATACTGACTTTATGAGTTGCACTAACAAACAAAAACTACAATACATACTCAATCAATAAAATTTTCAACAGGTACAAAGTTTAGGCTTGTTTTTAAAACAGTCAATGGAACAGGTACAAAGTTTAGGCTCGTTTTTAAAACAGTCAATGGAACTGAGGACAGGGGACTCTTGATTTACCGATGGTTAAAATTTTTGTGGTATATTAATATGTTGTAATTTGTATTTTGATTTTTCACTATATTATATACTTGCAACAATTGATATATACATATATATTATATGTATGAGTGTATGTTAGTTTTTTTTTCAGTTTGTCACAAACATGTTTAATTTGTTTATATGACAATAAAGATTATTATTATTTATTTTATCAACGCTTGACTTTTTAGTTTTTTTAGTTTTTTACCCTAACCATGGAAGTAAAATAACTAAACTGGTTATATGAGCTCCTTGCCCTAATTTAAACTCTAATGTAAAATCTGGCAGATATTTTCACATCCGCAAGAACAAATGTTTCGTAGTAGGGTGCATTTTCTGATAAAGGATCAAAGGACGCCCATAGTACTCTATTATCAAACTTTCATCACATTAAGATCGTGGCGTTCCTTATCAATTAGCTTAATGGGACGTGTTAAATTATTACATAATAATTTGAACTCTTGACAGTCGTTTATCTTCAAATTCAGAAAATCGACATATAATCTAAACAATGTAAAGTTTTTTTAATATATTTACCAATGTAGACGGCTGTTTAGATAATAAATAATATAAATGTATATTCTATACATTTTTTCTCTTTCTTTTATTGATTTTTGCACCATGTATGAATAAACTAAAAGGAAATATGTCTACTAGGCTGAGAAAGTCGATGTAAAAACAAATAAATTATATTCTAAAATACATTTTATAATATCATAACGTATTCTACAGTATACAGGTTTAGACAAGGAATCTACATTTTTTGTATTGATCCTTTATAAAATTTTGGTCTCTTGTGGAGAGTTGTCTCATTGGCAATCATACCACATCTTCTTTTTGTCGAGCCTTCGACTTTTGTCGAAAAAGCGAGACATAGCGATCCTACATTCCGTCGGCGTCGTCGTCGTCGGCGGCGTCCACAAATATTCACTCTGTGGTTAAAGTTTTTGAAATATTAATAACTTTCTTAAACTATCCTGGATGTCTACCAAACTTGGACAGAAGCTTGTTTATGATCATAAGATAATATTCAAAAGTAAATTTTGTAAAAATAATATTCCATTTTTTCCGTATTTTACTTATAAATGGACTTAGTTTTTCTGCCAGGAAACATTACATTCACTCTGTGGTTAAAGTTTTTGAAATTTTAATATCTTTCTTAAACTATCCTGGATTTCTACCAAACTTGGAAAGAAGCTTGTTTATGATCATATTAAGATAGTATCCAGAAGTAAAGTTTGTAAAAAAAAAAAATCCATTTTTTCCGTATTTTACTTATAAATGGACTTAGTTTTTCTGCCAGTTAACATTACATTCACTCTGTGGTTAAAGTTTTTAAAATTTTAACAACTTTCTTAAACTATCCTGGATTTGTACCAAACTTGGACAGAAGCTTGTTTATGATTAAAAGCTAGTATCTAGAAGGCAATTTTGTTAAAATTTTGTTCCATTTTTTCAGTGTTTTACTTATAAATGGACTTAGTTTTTCTTCCAGTTAACATTACATACAGTCTGCAGTTTAAGTTTTTAAAACATTTATTAGATTCATAAACTATCCTGGATTTTTACCAAACTTGGACAGAAGCTACTTACAATCAAAAGATAGTATAGAGAGGAATATTTTTATTAGTTTTTTCCTCATTTTTGTTGAGCCTGTGATTAACAGCAAAAGTAGGCGAGACACTGGGTTCCGCGGAACCCTTACGAATTTTTTATAGATACAGATATCTGGTTTCAGGGAGGAATAAATCATACTTGGTAAAAGACCCCAAGGGTTGACCGGGATTTATATATATATTGTCCTCTTTGGTACTACTCGTTCCGGTAGTAAAAACCTTGCGGTAGTGCGGAATGAGGACAGGAAATTGATGTTGAGTGGTTGTCGTTTGTTGGTGTGGTTTTTTTAAAAGATTAGACAGTTGGTTTTCCCGTTTGAATGGTTTTACACTACTTATTTTTGGGGCCCTTTATAGCTTGCTGTTCGATGTGAACCAAGGCTCCGTGTTGAAGACCGTACTTTGACCTATAATGGTTTACTTTTACAAATTGTGACTTGGATGGAGAGTTGTCTCATTGGCAGTCATACTACATCTTCTTATATCTATGTAATCCGATGCTTTGTGTAAACGAGTGCTGCTGTTTGCACGTTAAAGAAGGGGTTCGTACGTAACATACCATTATTTTCCAATGACAGTCCAAAATTCCCGTCCGCCATCCCTGTCGACCAGAACCTTGCATATCCTACCATTGCTCATGGTCATCGTCCTAAATACACATGAACTATTTGCCACTGAACATTTAGCAATGAACAATTAATCAACGTATTGTAAAAAAAAACTACTCTATATATTCATACAGAAATTTTCTGAAGCTGCTTTTTTCAAGATGCTTGATTATTTTCATTGACAACATCTTTTCGACAAGCAATAGGCATTATATGGGAATCAACTGCGTTTCTGCTTGTCGACTATTTTTCTATTCATACGAGTTAAATTTCATTCAGAATCTTCGAATTATATTTACATTCCGCTATGTAGATGATGGTGACTTCGTCGAACGCATCGATCTGATCTATCACATCGAACTTGAAACAAAGGATAGCACTGTACAGTTAAGTTTGTCTCTCATCTTGACTTAAACATCTAGAAATTGACCATGATAGTCGATTTCAAACAAAAACTTGACATAACAGAGATGATGGCATCTACCAAACTTTTCATTTCTTTGCAAAAATATTTTGGCAGCTCTTGTATATAGCTTGTATAGCTTCCATTTTATACGATATTTCAGAGCTTGTATGTCCTCACACAATTTCTGGGATAACTTTATTGCTGTTTGATTAACGTCCAGAACAAATGTTTCATGCATTATCAGGATGAGACAAATTAAAAGTAAATACAATAGTTAGGTCCTGCAATAGGGGATAGACCGGGATGATCGCTGGAAATTTGGAATGCAAATTGAAAATGTAGGTATATGGAAAAGGGACAGAATTTAGGCCTTGTAACTGACCAACGCCCGTCCTCTCACAGAGTTGTTGCAAGGGTTCATACCATGATAAAGCACCGGCATGGCGGGAGTAACGTTCTCTTTCTGACCGGACGTGGCTGTGAATTCATACATCCAAAACAGCCCAACGGCCTTTTTTTGGGATACGATTTTACTGCCGTCGAGAGAAGACCAAGAAATGATCATGTTTCTAGATAGACTCCTGTCAACTAATGGGATCTCCTTGATAATTAAAAGCAAGCTATTAACCCATGGGTTCCACGTAATATAATTAAAGTTATCCTTTCAAAAAGAGGGGCGAAAGATACCAAAGGGACAGTCAAACTCATAGATCGAAAATAATCTGACAACGCCAAGAGCTACTAAGAGAAAATCACGCGTTGGTTACAATTCAGTAATAGTTATGTCACAGATAACCACCGATATGTTCCTTAGAGTATTGCATGTCTTGATCGTCCTGTTTCCCTTGAATGTTACATCACGGAATGAGATTTTTTATCGAATTTGTTCATAAATAATCAACATGACGGGTGCCATATATGAAGCATGATCTGCATATCCTTTAGGAGCCGGAACAATTTTAGTTCATTTTTTGGAAGCACAACGATAATTTTTATATACGTATTGTTATTTGAAGTTTATGTTAATTAATGGTACAAAATCGTTTCTGTCGATAAAAATTGTAAAACTGTTGATGGGCAATGATAATGTTGGCTTGTCGGGGCCTTTTATTGCCGACTATTTATACGGTATGGGTTTTTTGTCATCGTTGAAGGTCGTACGGTTGCTTATAATTGCTTAAAATCACTTCATATGAACTTTGGTGGATAGTTGTCTCATTGATAAGCATACCACATCTCCTTTTTTTATATTGTGTTCTCCATCCGAATACTTCTCTAAGCAACATAAAAAGTAGGACCGTCATAAGATAACAAAAACAAGAATGTGTCCATAGTACACGGATGTCCCATTCGCACTATCATTTTCCATGTTCAGTGGACCGTGAAATTGGGGTCAAAACTTTAATTTGGCATTCAAATAAGAAAGATCATATCATAGGGAACATGAGTACTAAGTTTCAAGTTGATTGGTTATCAACTTCATCAAAAACTACCTCGACCAAAAACTTTAACCAAAAACTTTAACCAAAAACTTTAACCTGAACTTCGCACTATCAAAACTTAATTTTGCATTAAAATTAGAAAGATTATATCATGGGGAACATGTGTACTAAGTTTCAAATTGATTGGACTTCAACTTCAATATCAAAAACTACCTTGACCAAAAACTTTAACCTGAAGCGGTACAGACGGACGGACGGACGAACGAACGAACGAACGTACGGACGCACAGACCAGAAAACATAATGCCCCTCTACTATCGTAGGTGGGGCATAAAAAGGTAGGAAAAAAACTATTTCAATGTACGGCAGAGAGGTCATGTTTACATTGCTGGTATCTTTTCCTGAATAAGTTAAACAATACTAATGTCTTCATATTTCAAGCTTATACATATTTTAACAATTCAAAATTATAAGATTGTGTTTCTTGATTGCCTATGAAATTGACTTTAATATACATGTATATATATATATATATTATTTTCTGTAATTGTTTTGGCCTGTTATCTCTATCTAGCATGAAAAGATATTTTCTGAATAAAACTGATATTGAGACATTTCCATTGAGTATTTCCAGTTCATTGATAACTTTCAAAAGGTATAAAATCAACCATTTTGTGAGTTTCTTTAATGGAAATCATCAATGGTTATATGCAATTTCTTCAATTTGATACAAAACACTCACACCTTTCACATGAAATAAAATTGAGAATGGCAATGGGGAATGTGTCAAAGGGACAACAACCCAACCATAGAGCATATATATAAGAAGATGTGGTATGATTTCCAATGAGACATCTCTCCATCCAAGTCACAATTAGTAAAATCAAACCATTATAGGTCAAAGTACGGTCTTCAACACGGGGCCTTGGCTCACACCGAACAGCAAGCTATAAAAATGACTAGTGTAAAACCATTCAAACGGGAAAACCAACGGTCTAATCTATTTAAAAAACGAGAAACGAGAAACACTTATAAACCGTTTCAACAAACGACAACTACTGAACATCAGATTCCTGACTTAGGTCAGTAGGTCAGGTGCAAACA